AGCAGACCACCACCATGGTTCAACCGCCCCTGCCCTGTAGCAGCGGCAGTGAAAAATCAGGCCACGACCTGGGCGCAGAAGTCGTAAAGCTCGCGCAGGTGCCTCAGTTCCGGGTTGGCGCAGCGCCACTCCGCCGCGGCCTGCGGGGCCGCCTCTCGCGGCCCCGTCGGAGCTGCGCGGGAGGCCAGCGCCGCAGCCGGCGGCTGCGCGGAGGCGGAGGCCGCTGCCGCGCCGAGGGTGCGAGCGGAGGCCCTGCCCCTGCTGCGCTGCCACGGCAGCTCCCGGACCGTTCGCGGCGCAGGCCGCCTGCAGTCCTGCTCGAGGGCCTCGAGGGCCTGGGCCAGCTCCGCCTGCCAGAGCCTGCACTCCGCCAGCTGGCGCAGCGTCTCGTGGACCCGCCTGCCCTGGATGGGCCGCAGCTCCCGGAACTTGACCAGGTAGTCCCGCACGCTGTGCTTGTCAGGAAGCGCGTCGAGGAAGCGGCGGTCGGCGGGGCTCTGGGGCATCCTGACGAGGGCGCTGCGGAAGGCGCGGAACGCGTCCTGGTGCCTGTCCGAGGACTCCGCCCAGCACTCCTCGCGCAGGGGGCACAGGTCGCGGAGGTGCTGGAAGCTCTCGAGCAAGCCTGGATACCTGCCTCGAGGGAACTCCTCCCCGCCGCAGTCCAGCAGCTGCCTCGGGGGCGCCGGGGCTGCCACCCCACACTGCTCCGCGGCGCCCGCGGGCTCGCCTCTGCCGCCCCCCGCCGGCTCCCCGGAGCCCTCGCCGTAACACCCCGGCCACCTCTCCTTGGCGGCGCACACAAGGGAGTGGAGGGAGGGGGGGGGCCTCTTAGAAGAAGGCTGCGCCTTCTAGTAGCAGAGGTGTTCTAAGAAGGCCCCGCGCCTTCTGAGAAGCAGAGGGCCCGCACCCTACACCTATAGATAGGGATCGCGCCTTCTAAGAAGCAGGGGTGTTTCTCAGAAGCCCTCCCCCCTCCCCCCCCATCCCCCCTCTGCGCGCGGCTGATCTCCTCCGTCTGCGCCTCTGCATCGCAGGCCTCACAGGCCGCGGCCGGCCCGTCGCAGCCGCTCCCGCCCTCGCTGCCGGCGTCCTCGGCTGCCCCCCCCGCGGGCCCCCGGAGGGCGCAGGATCGGCCCTGGTTGCGCGTCGAGTGCGACAGGAAGAACTTGGCTGTCATCGGGCACATGTCGAAGACGCGGACGGTGATGCCCACGGGCCCGCCGCGGCGCCTCGCGAACTCCTTCAGGGCCCACAGCCGCCTGCAGCAGGCGGGGGCGGCGGGAGGGGGACCCCAGGGGGGCGCCTCCCTGCCCGACGCTCCCGGCGAGAATGGAGGACGGCGCAAGGAGTAAGTCGGGCGCGCCCCTCTACAGGAGGAATACTCAAAAATCAGAGTGAGGGGGCCGAACGGTCATTCATTGTTCCTGGGTGCGTGGCTGAATCAAGAATACGTGGTGAGAATTCTGGTTGTTGCGATGTTGTTGTTATTCTTGTTGTCGTCGTCCCACCCGCGACCCACCTCGCGACCCACTCCGCAACCCACCCCGCGACCCGCCCCGCGACCCACCAATGACCCACCCCGCGACCAACCTTCAAGGGAGGAACAACCACCCGGACCCGACAATTGACGTTTATTGAACGGCCTTGGGCGTTGACTAAGCAGCCCTGCCCTGTTCGATTCATCCCTTCTGTGCGTTTACTAAACGGCTTCGCTTGTCGAAATGACTATTAGGGGGTGATTTTCTGCCCACTACACCCGCGACCCAACCGCGACCCACCCGCGACCCACCCGCGACCCATTTGCGACCCATCCGCGACCTACCCCCCCTGCGGCGGGCTCGTTGTATAATTTGTGAAACTTGGGCGCCTGCGGCGGGCTTCTCCAGAGTCTCGCAAACTGCCGACGTCCCCACCTCCCCCTCACTCTTATCCGCATCTGCGGGTTGCGACGCAGTTAAAACATAATCAGGGGACGATGTTTGAGCATTTTTTGAAATGTATATATATATATATGTTTGAGTATTTTTGTTTTTTCGTCCAACAGCCGCCTGTTGGGGGACACGCCCTACCTCACGCAAGGATCGGATGCTGGAGGGGCGGAGGTTGACAAATATTTAGCGGCTGGAGCAGCACAGGACGGGCGTTGGAGAGTGACTCCTTTCGTCCCCGTCCCTGGGCATCTGGCGTCGTGGAAAGCCACCGCGTCCTCGACGCCAAGCAGACATCCAACACCAGATTTGGCAGACAACGCCGATCTGTGAGGGTCCGTGGGGCCCGAAGCGTGGCTCAGACACGCGTGTTAAGGCGTCGGGTTGCGCGGCCCCCCGAGGTGCCCCGGCTGGCCTCTACAGGCCCACCGAGTAGCCTGGGGCGCACTACTCGAGAGGCCGTCTGAGCCCAGCTGGGACTACTCGGGGGGCCTGTTGAGGCACTTGGGACCACCTGGAGGGCTAAGCGCAACCAGGAGCCTCAACAGACACCCGTCAGGAATTCTTGACCAAGCCCGGGCGCTGGGGCCCGCCTGTTGTTCAGCGAGTAGAGGTGCCCATTGAACGTGACGGTCTGCAGCCTGAGCCTCCGCCGCAGCAGCCGCCCAGCCGCCGCCACCGCCGCCGTTGCGAGACCAGAGTTCACACACGTCCACTGGCAGGGGGGGCAGGTGCTCCAGGACCCGTGGAGGCTGCGGACATCGATGTATGCTTGTGGGCCCCACGCCCGGGGCCCGAGGATGTCCATATCCAAGGCGATCAGCGATCTAGACTCGTCGCCATCGTCGCCACCGCCGCCGGCGTCGTCGTCGTCGCCGTGGCCATTGCCTTCGCCGTCGCCGTCGCCATCGCCGTGGCCGTGTTGTCGTCGTCGTCGTCGTCGCCGCCGCCGTGGCCGTGTCGTCGTCGTCGTCGCCGCCGCCGTCGTTGTCATCGTCGTCGTCGTCGTCGTCGTCGTCGTCGTCGTCGTCGTCGTGGTCGTGGTCGTCGTGGTCGTGGTCGTCGTCGTCGTCGTCGTCGTCTTGGAGCCTTTCGTCCCCGTTGGCGCACACTCTGCCGGCCACCAGGTCGTCCACCAGCGTGGTGACCTCGCGGCCCCTCTGGCTGCCGTGCGCGAAGACTCGAGAGATGGTGTCGTGGGTGAACCGGAGGAGGCTCACGTCCACCTTCGTTCGGCGAAATGGAGCTCAAATTTCAAGATCTGCAACACTGCCCGTGACTGGGGCCGTCCCACCCCCATCCCACCCCCATCCCGCCCGCGCCGTCTGGCAATGGCTCTTGCTCCCCAGACGGCGCTGGCGCAAATGCTTACATTGTCGCCCCTCTCGCTCACGTCATCATCCCCCCCTGGAGACGCCCGATAGCACTAGATGAGCGATTCTCCATGAAGGCGGGGGCCAGGATTCAGTCCTGGCTCCCAGGCAATGTTGCAGCGGCAAGGGAAGCCACGAGCAGGGGGACCGTCGAAGGGCCCGACAAAACGAGGCGTAGCGAGAGCTGTGGGAAGACCCCGAACAGGCTCAAGGGAGGGGGGAAGGGAGATCAGGAAGCGGAGAAGGACCCGAACTGGAGCTGGAGTCCCAGCAGTGCCCAGACTACTGCTCGTCGTGCGATTGCTGCCAGGGCAGCTTTCTACAGCGCCCACGACGACTGCTGCTTCTACCACCAAGAAGGGCCCACGGCCCCCAAGACAACCCCGAGAGGAGCCCAAGAGAGGGCACGCAAACTGACGTTCGGAGCCCTCCACCCAACATGCCCTCAAGCACGGCCCAGAGGCCGCCGAGACGCGCCCAAGAGACCCCAAGAGGCCCCTAGTCGGCGCAATGGACACCCAAAGAGGTCCCCGAGAGGCCCCCGAATAGTTCCCTGGGAGATCCCAAGAACCGTCCGAGGGGCCTCTGACCCACGGCAGGATGGGCCGAAAGCCACTAGACACTTACCACCACTACAACTACCGCTGCTACGAATCGTGGAAGGACATGGGCACGAGAAGGCGCAGGGGCAGGAGTGGGAGTCGACAGCCTGTTCGAATCCTGAGGAGGGCTAGGCGTGGTGAGAAGGAGGAGGCGGAGGAGAGCGAGGAGGAGGGCGAGATGCGAGGAGGACGAGCTGGGGGGACGCGGGAATGGATTGAGGGATGTAGACGAGGACGAGGGAGAGGATGAGCATAAACCCGACGAGCACACCGAGGAGGGCGAGTGCCCCAGGACGAGGAGGACAAACACGAGGAGGAGACCATGGAGGACGAGGGCCGCAGGACGAGAAAAACGACGAGAAGGAGAGGGAAGAGGAGGCGGAGGAGGAAACGGGGACGACGTCTCTCTCGAGCTCCGCTGCCTGCTGGTCGCGCCAGCTCAGCTCCCGCCCGCAGTGCTGGTCGAAAATCCGCTCAGCCCAGCCGGGGCGGGTGCGGGGGCCCGCAGCTTTGACCGCCCGAGATGGGCAGAGAAAAACTGGGCACAGTAGGGGACAATCAACAAGAAACCTTCCACAAGAAGCCCAACCCTGAGATCCCAGGACGTCCATCGATGTTGTGTGGGAACGCCACGCCTTCCATGGCAAGACCATCGGAACACAAGAAACCCAGGGCACCCTGGAGGCCAACAGGGCTTTTCTCTGCATGGGCATCCACTGCATACGACGCTCAGCAGCTACTGTTGTCCAACACCGACAGCCAGCACCGTTGGGTAGTTAAGCAAACTTTGGCATCGAGTGGGCCCCGCCCGCGGCGGCGCCCACAACGAGCCCCGCTCCAAACGGACAGGACATGCCGTCGGTCTTCGCCACTAGAGGCCTCCTAGATGAGGTCCGAGTAGATGGGGACGGAGGATCGGGCCGCATCGCCGATGCATCGTCGATGCATCGGTGATGCACTGGCGATGCATCGTCGACGTGGGCGATGCATCGGCGACGTCAACGTGAAGCAAATCGGGCTCCACATCGAGCCGCATCGCCGATCCATCGGCGATGCGGCGCGATCCTCCGACCCATCTACTCCGACCCCATTAAGGAGGCCTGGAGCCACGATTCTGTCCGTACCCACTTCGATTCTGAAAGCAACTGCTTCTTCGACTCGGCCTGGCCGGGTCCCGACGTCCTAGCCGTGGCGGCGCGCAGAGGGGGGCAGGGGGATTGGGGAAGGCTTCTTAGAAGCACCCTGCTGCTTAGTAGGCCCTGGCCTTACGTCTGCAGAGAGGGCCTGCGCCTTCGAAGAATCAGGGTGCTTCTGAGAAGCCTTCCCCCCCCTTGAACGAAGGATTGCAAACGAAGGATTGCAAAAAAACCCGCTTGAACGAAGGATTGCAAAAAAACGAAGGATTGCAATCCTTCGTCGAAGGGTTGTTTTGGCAATCCTTCGTCGAAGAGTTTTTTTTGCAATCCTTCGTCCCCCCGCTTCCTAGAAGGCCCCGGCCTTGCGCCTGTAGCGCAGGCCCGCGCCTTCGAAAAAGCAGGGTGCTTCGACTAGAAGCCTCCTCCTCCTCCTCCTCCTCCCCCTCCTCCCCCTCTTTGGTATGTTCCTCGACCCTCTGGGGGGTGAGGCCAAAAGGCTTCAATGAAATCTCGCTTGGGCACCAGCGCACTGAAAACCGAACGTCAGAACACGTTGCTTCAAGCAAGTTTCAGGTTCAGTTTAATCTGGTTTGAGGTTCATAATTTTTTGTTGTATATAAGTTTTGAAGCCAGAATCGGTTGTTGTATGCTGGTTTGAAATCCAGAATCGCATGTTGCATGTCGATTTGAAATCTAGAATTTGTTGTTGCATATCGGTTTGAACTCCAGAATCGTTTGTTGCATATCGTTTGGGGGTTCAGAATAGTTCGTTGCACGGCTTTTTGATTCGCAGAATCTTGAGCACCGTCACACTTTCGTTCACAGAAAAGTCAGGCAGATCTTGGCACGCCTGAATTCGGACACCGAAAATGATTGCAGCGCGCGTTTCGGGCGGCGCAGAGAAAGTGCATCCGATGAATTCTATGATCTTTCGGCTGGCGAAGGAGTGCAAGGGGGGGGGGGCGCTGACCAAAGAATTGGAAGACAGCTCTTCTTGAGGCAAGACCCTGGCGAATTCCTTCTTGCGTCGAAGCAGGGCAGAATGCCTGCGATTGGTCGCCGATCGGTCGCGAGACCCTGGATCCCGCATTTCAGATTCCCATGTCGAGCCCGATCTAGTTGTAAATGTAAGCATTTAGGCTCAACGTTTGGCCGTCATGGCCGAATGGTTTGCATTTCTCGTTCACCGAACGCTCGCTCGCCGCGTGATAATTACATCAGAGGGCCATGTGATTTCTAGATCGTCGCTTGTTTCGTGGACTAAGGAGCTTGGGCTTGGCCAGAATGATAGATTTTACGAGCGATGTTTTTCAGATGAGAGGGTTTCTTCTTTGAAAGTGGGCGGCGCTGATTTGTACGATTTCTCTGCTGCGCAGTTCTTGGCAGAGTTCTGCGGCGTCGCCAGCGGGCGCGTATCTTGGGATATGGTACTGTCATCGGTCCGCTTGGGCGCCCCACTTGAGAGCCAACCTCCCGCGTCGAACGACGCCGGAATGGCCCCGCCCGATACTGATGTTGGTGGCGTCGACGTTTCCATGCAGCCCGTGGGCGACGACGACCAGTCCGACGAGCAACGTGCCCCTTCTGTTTTAACTTTGGCGGTGGCGCAACACCTGTCGAAACGGAATCCTGTTCGCCAGAATCTGTTCGATCACGTCACAATTGAGCATGTTCAGAATATTTCAAGGGCTGAGCTTGAATCCCTAGCGTTGCAGATGCGCAGGAGGAACAAAGTCGTTGAGGCAGGTTTTGAGAGTTCGAAATCACGGTCATCCCGCTTGCAAAGGAAGATTTACGTTCGTGGGCGCCGCATTCGGGAATTGAAAGAAAAAGTACAGTCACTTGAAACAGAAAAGATGCAAGCAAAAATGAGCGGCTTGTTCAGAAATTGTGGTGGGAGGTATCTCACTCTGAATGGTGGTTTATCCATCGCGCTCCGTCGTACGATCTCAGGGGTCGCGTCCAGCAAGATGGGCCTGGCGATATGCGAGGACGTGGGCCGTAGGGCCATCACTTCTGCGGAAGTGCGTCTGAGGGCGGCACTTCTCGCGCATGCCCGAGCTTTCCATTGTCACCACCGTTGTCGTTTCGCAATTGAGCCTGATTATCCCGTGGACCCGACTGAAGTTCCACCTGGCGTGGATTGTCGCCTCGCTGAATTCGATGTTTGGCGTTGGTCGGTTTATGTGATCAGGGGAGACGCCACGAACAGTAAAGTGTGGCAAAAACAAAAAATCCGAACGCAAGAAGTCCAAGCCTCCTTCTTGTGCGACCCAGTGCACCCTTGGGACGACCCGTCAGATGCTCAAGATTGTGTTGCCCACTCTTGTATTCTTGCTGACATGCAGATCGTTGGTGGGGGAAGCGCAGAAGGGACTCTCGCAATGGTGATAAAGCAAACTCGGAGTGTGGAGGTGCCGTGCCTGTCGGAAAGGACAGGCGACCACGAGTTGTGTTTGCACGCCATTGCCGATGGGGATTGCACGACCGAGCTGGGGGGCGACCGACCTGCTGAACCTGTTCGCGCGGTGGTGCACCGCAGGAGCCTTTTGCGACCCCCTTGGCCGAATCGGTTGGATCGCCCCGAAGGCCCCAGGACGCTTACAATACTGATTGCCACCGCAGACGCTGGGTCTGACGAGGCCTCCAGCAGGCGCAAGATTTGCCAGATTTTTGCACGCAACCTGAAAGTCTGGGTATTTGGGAACCATTGTTTGCAACATCAATATTCCCTGATGGTTCAAAGCGATTTAAACATTCTGAACGATTTCATGGAGAGCATGACCGACGGCATCAAATACGCACCCACGTTGACGAAATTGATGCATCTTTGGAGAGATCGGGCAGTTGAAATTTACAGGCTGTGGACTTCCAAATTTGGCGCGCAAGCGTCGGCATTTGCTGCGAAGGTACCACCGAAATGTGTGACTACCCGCTGGGGCACGTTCAGTGCATGTGAACGTTACGTTTTGAACGGTGATCATTCGCAGCTCATGGCGGTGTTTGAAACGGTGTTCTTAACTTGTACCAAAGCGAAGAAGAAGAAGACAACGTCGCCGACTGCTGAACTGTCTGCTGAATTGAACGAAGCGTTCTACGAGCAGCTTTCAAGATGGAGTGGGGAAGTTGCAAAGGGGATTAATTCGCCACACTTTCATCTCATCATGATGATCGGCAATCGGTGCCGCGGGCCCTTGGAC